GACAAACTTGACCTGAAGGAGTGAAACGTTTCATGCTGGGGGCTGCAGAGCAAGCAGAGCCCATCCTTGCTCATTCCAAACACTCCCAGTTTCTTACTGGTGAAAACATGAATCCAGGTAGTACGGTTGCTCTGCTGGACCACTGCGGGGAGGGTGTGACTGCATGTATTATTTTCTTTAAGGATGATTTACAAATGGAGAAATCTTAACAAATTTAGCATTGACTTTGGATCCATCACCTGTCATCCTGATTGCTGCTTTTCAGCCACCCAACACAAGGATAAATGGGATACCTCGAATTCTTTGTTTTTACTTTGGTTTATTTGGAGTAATGGCACTATTTTTAAGAAAAATGTGACAATAGATTACATTTAAGTTCAAATAAGCAAATAAAATTAACATATGGCCCAGCATTCTTCTAGATAAATGCCGAAGCAAATTGAGAAGAAAATTGTTCAAACAAAAGCTTGTACCCCTACTCACAATTACCAGAAAGTATAAACAACCCAAAAAGCTATGAGTGGGGAATTAATAAACACCACCAGAGGTGCGGGAGGGTGAGAGGCTTCACCAGAGACAGAGTGGGGAACAGAACAGGCAGACTGACGAAATACACTGCTGAGGGGAGCAGTGGGGAAACAGGAGAGGTCTGTGCACCATGTGGGAATCTCCTGGCCGGCCTGGGATCGAACCTGCACTGCAGAGGCTGCAAACAGCTTTACAGCGCTGCGCTCAACCTGCTGCGCCACCGGGAAGGCCCCTAGGGTTCTTTTTATGTGGACTTGACAATTGGCATAAGATGGATTGTTGGGAGAGACCCCGCGCAGCGCAGAAGGGCCTTAACCTGAGTCGCAAAGGCGCGTGAAAACACATGCGTCTTGGAGGAAAACCTCTGAGTGACCGGACCTGGTGTTGAGTGCCTGGAATGTGACCTGCGTGGAGTCAGGCCTCTACAGCGCCACAGTCTTAGAATAATAAGAAATAATGAGCGAAATTCCCATGTTGTAGCTAGGGGGCGATGAGATGATGTGCGTGAGAATTAACCACCTGGCACCCTACTGCCTGCAGTAGAGAGATAATAGTAAGAAAGCAGAATAATCCGTCATACATATGGCCTGCTTTGATGTTACACTTGCTGCACTTAAAGTAGTGTAGAAAAGAGCACTAAGAAAGTAAAGATTCACTGCATGCCGACATGACAGTCCCCCATGCCGCGGACCAGCGCAGCAGTGAGCGATGAGGCCGTCTCAGGGTTGAGAGACTGCGCAGGGTGGTCAGGGATTCGGCTGAAGAAATGACAAACAGACACACTTCCAGAGAGAGTGTAAATCTGAGTGCCCTTTATTTGGGTCAGTGGTCAGTATATATATGTTTTTTCTAAAGGCATAGGATTAGTGAACATCAAAGAAATTAGTTTGCTCAATGGTTTAGCTTATCATTGACAGGGCAGTGATTTATGTCCAAAATACATCTGGACCTAGCTGCATTCCTAAGGAGACAGGCTATTAACTCTTTCTATATTCTTGTACTAACTACTACTACTACTACCTACTTATGTTTACTCATAACTAATTGTCATGGGTGAATTTATATTATAGTGCAGTTAATATCAAAGGTACTAAAGTCAAGCACATAATAGAAATATTATTAAACCAACTATTATAACACAGTGTTTAGTAATGTTTCATTTGTATTAGCCTAATTATTAAATCACGTATGTTTTTTAATTAGCAATCAATGACCAGAAAAAGGAAAGATTTTAGAAAGACAGTTATAGCAAAATAAAGTTTGTGGGCCTTGAGAAAGCGAGATAAGGTTCCAGGTGGTCAGCATTTCTTTTAATCATCTTTGTGGCGGCTTCTGGTGGTCGTCATCTCTTGGCAGGCATTCGGCTTCTCTGCATCTTAGGGAGTTTGCTGTTCTCCCCCTGCGCGCATGGTTCCTGGCCCACGCCGGACCTCAGGGACCATGGCAACAGCCATTAGCCCTGACGGTCACTGCAGGGGGAGGTGCAGCACCCCATGTCTGATTTCCTTCACCGTCGCGCCCCAGGTCCAGGACTCACTGGAAGTCCACAGTGGATCAACAGGAGAAAAGCTTACAAATTCCTTAATACGAGTTTGTGCGTGTGCATAGCCACCCACACAGTGATTACACATGTCGGAGACTGTACCGTGGGATGAAACCCTAAATACACAGAAATGTAAATATGGAAATACATGACGTATATGTATCAGTAACGTGTGTGATGTGATGAAACAAACGAGTAATTCTGGACTATTTTAATTCCATCCTCCTTGTGTCCCTGAAAATCAGGATGTTTATGGACTAAGAAATAGAGGTGCTAAGTAAAAACCCCACAGCTTTGAAATTAAATAGAAATAGTATAGACTTACGGGGCATTTTACCTTTAAATGTATATACTTCCTGGCTCTGCTCATTGCGAAGACTGGAAACAGTGGCCAGCCTGGTACCAACGAGTGTGTTTACACACTCGTTTACAGACACATTAAAATGTACTATTTGCTATTTCCCAGCTTTTGCTTTTTTTAAGTGTCTGGTGTGTGCATGTCGGGTCCCGCGGCTGCTGCAGGCTGTCATCGCTTGCTTTCCACTCTCCTGTGGACTTGGTTTGAGACGTGGCCATTTCACCGGTCAGTCCCACGTCGCCGTCCCTCCGGCTTGTTCTCGGGTACGTTTCTCCGGGAGGCCCCGGGAGCAGCGTTCCCCGCGTCCTTGGTGCGCCCCGCAGCTGGCGCCACGGTCGGCCAGGCGTCCCCGTAAGACGGCCCGCGCCGGCAGTGCCCGGCAGCAGGGGGCCGAGAGGGCCAGGGGGCTCCTGCCCTGCTGCGGGTATTAGGGGAAGCGAGGGAGCCCGAGCGCGCAGCGAGTCCCAGGGTGTCCCGTGGCCCAGCAGTGAGGGCTTCGGGGGGCCCTGCCCCCAGCCGAAGCTCCGTTCTAGGCCGTTGCTCCAGTAAACGGCAGCCAGAACAAACGAGCCCTCTAGAGGATTCCTCGGGTGGTTGGTGTCGGGCTCACTGCAGCGCTGAGGCCAGAGGCGCCCCCCTGACCTGTTAGTGGCGTGGGCCCCTGGCTGCCTCGGTCTCCAGGCGTCCTTTGGAGCTTGAGAACGGGGCGGGGCCGCAGGAGGGTGGGCAGAGGGCAGGTGTTTGTCAGCCAGCTGTGTTCTTCGTGGAGAGCTGGGTTGTTTTTTTTAGTAATTTATTTATGCATACAAGACCTGGGGTACAGGCCAGAAGCGTGGGGGGTGAGAGGATTCACCAGAGCGGGGAGCAGAGCAGGCAGATCCACTGAAACCCACTGCTGAGGGGAGCAGCGGGCGGCAGGAGAGGTCTGCGCGCCATGTGGGACCCTCCTCCGGGGGCCGGGGAGCAGCCGGGGATCGAACCGGCGCTGCAGAGGCCGCGGGCAGCTTCGCCACCCAGCGCTCAACCGCTGCGCCCCCGGGGAGGCCCGCCGCGAGCTGGTTTTGAGTCCGGTGGCCGTGCTGAGAGACCGGGGAAGAGTCATCATAGCGTTAAGACCAGGGAAGACAGAAAATAAATGTTAGACAGAAAGAACGAACCAAGGCGGGGCCCCTGGCGGCGCAGGGGTTACGGCTCACTCGGCGCAGGGCGATCGGGCCCCTGAGGCCTGGGCTGGTCCCCGCCAGGGCGCAGCAGACCATCAAAAACACTTTTAATTTCTGTTACAATTGTTTTTTCATTCCAGCGTGTCGCTTTGATTCTTCTGTTTCCACCTCTCCGGCACGGACCGTCCCTTCTTTTCTTTTTCACTTTTTAAAGAGCATTGACGGCCCCTCCCCGCAGGCTCTTTCCAGGCTAGTCGCGGCTGCCGTGAGCGGCGGGTTCCGCCCGGGCCGCCCTCTCTGGGGTCTCTGCAGCGTCTGCCCCTCGGGCGCGGGCGGCGCGTGCAGCCCAGACACGGCCGTGCGGGGCGCCAGGCTTCGGGCCGCCTCTTGGGCGCGAGCGCTGTTCGCCTGGCGAGACGTTCCGGCGGGGTGTCGGCCTCGCCACACGCGTCTGCGCCCCGGTTTCGTCATCCTTGACTTTGTCTCCCCTGCTCCCTTCATCTTTTCCCCTGGAGGTTTCCTCACGATGGAGAGGTGCAGTTTTGTTTTCTTTTTTCATTTCGGCCCCACCCCTGTCCCGGGACAGCCCAGGGCGCGTCCCCATCCGGGGCTGTTGACCGTCCCGCTCCGAACCTGCCTTGCAGGCCCTGACGGGCTGCGCAGCGTCCCCCTTGTTCACGCTTAGTTAACTCCCGGCTGGACCCGCTCCCAGAGCTGCCCGTCCTCTGACTGGACGCGGGGCACGTCGCCGGCCGCTGGGTTCCGCGCTGGCCCCCACCGGCCCCCTCGGCCTGGAGGCGGCGCAGGTCCTGGGCGCGGGCTGCTCCCGAAGAGCCTTCCGGGCCGGAGCTGTGCGCGCCTGCGGCCGACTTAGCCCCACGCCTGCTGGGTCCTGCCGGCGCCCGGGAGCTCGGCCGTCTCACGGCGGCCCGTGGGGGCCCCGGGGTGGTCCCCCCGCACCCTTCCAGGCGTCCTTGACCGGCCTCCCCCCGCGTCCCCCCCACGGGCGCATCCAACTCTGCCCGGCCCGTGGGACCCTTGGCGGGCCGGGGCTCTGCGCAGCCCCTCCGCGCTCTGCCACGGGGCCTCTGCCCCCCTCGCGCCCTCGCCTCGAAGTGCTGGCGCCTGTGGTCTCCCGCCCCGCACCTCATCCTGGAAGCTGCCGTGGCCGGTGGGGTCCCGGGACTCTTCACCCCCCTTTCCTCAGGGATCGCTTCCTGCACTGTTGTCCTGTGGCTGCCGGCCAGCGCATCTCGGGGCCCCCTTGTTTGGGGACCCCCGTTATGCTGCCTCACACCAGTGCGCGAACAAGGGAAACAGCCCGCTGGGGTCCTGACAGTGCAGAGCGGGCGAAACGGAACCTCTGGCTCCGCTGGTAACACCCCCTTTTTCTTCATTCACTCGCCAGCCACGGCATCCACGGAGCAGCAGGATGGCCCCCAGCAGCTTCCAGCGGCTGTGCCCTCGGTGGGCAGACGCGCCTGCGAGGCCCAGCACCTCCCGGAGCCCCCGGGACAGCAGCCGATCGCCCACGCGCTCGCCCCGTCTCCGTGGCCGCCGTGACCCCAGCAGGTGCCGGACCGGAGGCTGCGCCAACAAGGTCACCCAGCTCGGGTGACCGTGGCTTGGTCAGGGGCCAGGGGGGCCCCCAGGGCGGCCCGGCTGCTCCCCGAAACCCTGTCAATGGCTGCAGCTGGTGAAGGTGACCGGCAGCAGGTGAGTCCCACTGCACGTCCGTGCTGAGGGGGGTGCCGTCCCCCGAGAGCCGCTGTGCTTCCCGGGCGGGGGCGGGGAGTCCCGGATGCCAGCCCCGCCGGGTGGGCGGTGCGATTTCTAAGCTGGTGAGGCAGGGTGAGAGCCTGGCTCTCCCCAGCCGAGCAGCAGAGGCCCGTGGGGCGCGCCCGTGGGGGTCAGCGTGGGAGGGACCTTGGCGCCTAGAGAGAGCCCTGGGGCAGCGGGCGGAAGCGCTGCCGTCACCCGCAGTTCCGGTCAGAAGCGGCACCATCCAGCCGTGCCAGGGGCAGGGCCCCAGGAAGCAGGCGGCCCCGGCATGGCGGCCCACGGGCCAAGGCGCTCTCGCGGGGGGCGGGACAGGCCCGCGCCGGGCACAGGTGCCGGCTCCCTGAGGCGCGGCAGGGCGCGCTGCTGAACGGAGAATGCCCACGCCCGGCCCCTGCACGTTCGGGCCGCGCCGATCAGGCGAGCCCGGGTTCAGACCAGGACGGAGGCCTTTACACTCAGGACTCTTGCCTGGGCGGCGGGGAGTGTCCTCTGCCCACCCCGCTGCGCAGGACGGGGATGTCCACACGGCCGTGCTTGTTGGGCCAGCCCGGCTCGTCACCGCCCTCCTCCAGCCCCCCCAGCGCCCCGGTCCAGAGAGCGGCACAGCCTGCTTCTGGCTGTGGAGAGCTGGCAGCAGGCCCGGATCTGCTGGGGCCCGGGGGGGACCACACAGGAGCCGCCACCCGGAGGGCGGTACTTCCCGCGCTGGCCGGGCAGGGGACAGAGCAGCCGGGCGGGGGCAGCTGCCCAGAGGCAGAGAAGCTCCAGACAATCTTGCGGGGCCCGGGGCTGAGGGAACGGGGCCTGATGGCCAAGACCCCGAGAGGAAGGAGGCCGCGGGTGGCGCGGCCACTCAGCATTGGCTGATGAGCCACCCAGGGCAAGGGACACGGAAAGTGGCTGAAACGCAGAGGACTTGGGGTATCCGGTGCCAGGACAGGGCTCACGGCTTGTGAAGCAGGAATGACCTTGAGAAATCCCAGGCCGTCCGCTGAGGCCACCGGGGACGCCCCGGAGTGGGGAGAGCCCCGGGCGGATGAGCAGACCGCGGGCAAGCCCATGGCCGGCCGGCCCCCAGGCGTCCCCCCTCGGTGGGCCAGACCGCAGCCCTCCCGGGGCCTTGTGCCCAGCCAGGAGGCACACGGGGAGGCGGGGCACGGGGGACAGAAACAGGTTCAGGGGGGCTGAGACACGGGCGCTGTCAGGCGAGGTCAGCCAGGGAAGGCCGCAGGGGGAGCCCCCGGAAAGCCGGCGCCCAGCACATTCACTGCCAAGGACGGACCGGAGAAGTCGCTGGCGAGCCGGAGGCCGGAGGCCTCAGGTGCCTCACCAGGGTCGTGGGAGCCCCCCGGGCAGCGTGGCCCGGGGAGTCTGGCCCGTGATGCGCATGCGGGCAAAACGCCGCTGGGCCTCCCACCCACGGGCGCCGCCGAGGCCAGGGCGGCTGCTCAGCGCACCCCTCCCTCCCACCTACCCCCGAAGCTGCCGTTCGCCCCCTGCTGGCGCGGGAGAATGTCCGTCGCGGGGTGCGGGGTTCCTCATAGTGAACACGAGCGAGTTCACGCGCACGGTGCCCTGACCTGGGCCCAGAGGACACACCCAAGAGGCGGCGCTAGTTTCATCCCTTTTACAGAGCAGGACGTCGAGGTTTCGAACGGTGGAGGACGCGTAGGGGATGCCAGGACCAGGCCTGGGCCCCAGATCCCGGACCCCTGGGCGCTCTTCCCTGGCTCTCTGCACAAGCGGGCTGTAGCTGGGGCTGCGCTGGGGGCTCCCCAGAGCAGGGCAGCGCCGCCTGGCGAGGGAGGTGGGTGCTGGCAGGGGGCGCGCCTGGTGCTGAGAGCCGGTGACCAGGCACCAGGCTGTGACCGCTGGCCGTGCCACTTGGGGTGGGCGGCCCCAGGTCCCGCCGCCTTCCTCAGCTCGCGGCCACGCTGCCCCGGGAGGGCCTGTCAGGCGTGTCCGGGGAAGAAAACGGCCTGGGGTGCGGGGACTGGGTCTGCCCCGGCCGGCCGGCGCTGGCCCGGCCTCAGGGTTGAGCACAGAAGGGTTAGCCGAACCCTGTGGGGGGGTGCGGGGGGCTCCTGGCAGCGTGAGGACGTGGCCCGTGACGCCCCCTCCGGGCGCAGCCGCCGAGCCTGGAGCCAACGTGCGTCCGTCAGCGCGTCCTCATTACCCGCGGGCGCGGCTGCTGCTTCGCTTGTCTTAATCCCCCGCGTCCTCCCGCTTCGTGACCGCGGGCAGCGTCTGAGGCCCTTTCCGCACCCGACCTTGGGCCCTGCTGGCCGCCCCCACCGGGGAGGGGGAGATGCCTGGGCGATCCGGGCGGACCTGAAGCCCAGTCTCTCGTGTTTCTGAGAGGGGGCCCGGGAGTGGACAGAGAAGACTAGGCCATGTGGCTGCAGGTTGAGGAGCTGGGGTCCCCCTGAGGCTGTGGAGGCAGAAAGGACCCCCGGGGCCTCCAGAGGGAACCAGCCCGCAGCACCTGTGTTGGGCCCAGGGAAACGGCTTTTATTTTTTAAGATTATTTATCTATTTATTCAAGCACTGGGCAGTCAGAAGCGCGGGAGGGTGAGAGAACTCACCAGAGCCAGAGCGGGGAGCAGAGCAGGCAGAAGGACCGAAGTACACTGCTGAGGGGAGCAGCGGGCGGCAGGAGAGGTCTGCGCGCCATGCGGGACCCTCCTCCGGTGGCCGGGGAGCAGCCGGGGATCGAACCGGCGCCGCAGAGGCCGCGGGCAGCTTCGCAACCCAGCGCTCAACCGCTGCGCCACCGGGGAGGCCCAGAAACGGCTTTTTGTTTTAAACCACCCCGTCGTGTCGCTGCTACCTGTGCCCTCAGGACCTGGTCACTCAAGGTCACCCGCTCTGGGAAGGCACAGCCTCTCCTCTGCCTCAAGACGGCCCCCACCGGGCCATGGTAGCAACTGAGGTGGCTGCAGCCCCCACCCCTTCCTGGCACCCCAGCCCTGCAGGGGCCGCATCGAGTGTGTGCCCGGAAACCCCTGCTGCAGCCCGGTCGCCGGCAGCCCTCACGGGGTGGGCTAGGAGGCAGGTTGGGCCTGGTCAGTGGTCACCAATGGCGCCATCTGCAAAAGGGACGTCTGGCTCTGGCTCAAGGTCATTCTCCGTCCTCCAGCGCACCTGCTCCCCAGCCCTGGGAGCGCAGCACGTGCGAGGGGCCCGGGAGCCGCGGGCCTTATCAGGCGTTTCAAAACCGGGTGCCAGAGCCGTCAGGTGCGCCTTCGCAGCAGCAGTGACCCGTGGCTGGAGCAGACGCGCCCGCCCCACCTGGCGCAGCCCCACGGGGAGAGCCACTGTGCTGAGTCACCGGGTGCCTCCCCGGGTCACAGGTGCCCAAACCTTTAAAACCCCAGGCGGGTGGCATTCCCGTGCGCGGGCTCGGGCTGCAGCGGCCTCTCCCTTCGGCTTCCTGGTTCATCTCCCTCAGGGACTCTCCGCAGCACAACAGGAGAGAAGTGGCACCGAAGACAACGGGTCTGTGTGGGGGTCGCGTGTGAGGTGAGTGTGCTGGTCCCAAGGGCCACCGAGGAGGGGCAGGGGGTCTGTCTTGGTGGCTTTGGACACTCTCGGAAGAGCCCCGGCCAGTCTTGACCTGGTTGGTGCCTGGCACCGGGGCGGAGGGCAGCCAGCCTTCCTGCAAGAGGCCCTTACAGGGGTGCATCTGGTGGGTGGGGTGAGAAGACCCAGGGCCTCCCCTGGGCACCGCGGGCCTGCACTTGGGGCAGAGCCCAGAGACAGGACTGTCTGCCTCGGGCTCCCCCAGTAGGGCCCCAGGGGAGGGCAGCCACTCTCCCAGCTACTCCAGACTCACAGGAGGGTGTCCCCCCTGCCTCAGGATGAGGGGTGCCAAGCTGACGGGGGCTCTGCTCGCCCTGGCTGGCCTGCTGCATGTGGCTCTGTCCCTGAAAATAGCCGCCTTCAACATTCGGACTTTCGGGGAGACCAAGATGTCCAACGCCACCCTGGCCACCTACATCGTGCGGGTGAGTCCTGCAGCCTGTCCACGGGGCAGAGGAACCCTGGGGTGTGCGGCGGGCCTGGACACCTGGCAGGGGCACAGACTGCCAGGTCCGGGGTGCAGCCCCTGGTCTTAGCCTCCTCGTCAGTCGCGGGACAGAGCCGTGTCACCCTGGCATGGTCCCAGTCCCCGTGGGCCCCGCCCAGCACCGCCGTGGCCTTGCCCCCCAGATCCTGAGTCGCTACGACATCGCCGTCATCCAGGAGGTCAGGGACAGCCACCTACAGGCCGTGGGGAAGCTGCTGGACGGACTCAACCAGTGCGTGACATGCCAGCCTGGGGCGGCACGGCGGGGAGGGGGGCAGGAGTCCCTCCGCGGGCGGCCGGGGCGCCCTGACTGGGCTTCTCCTCCTCTGTCCAGGGACGCCCCCGACTCCTTCCACTACGTGGCCAGCGAGCCGCTAGGACGCGGCACCTACAAGGAGCGCTACGTCTTCGTGTTCAGGTACGGCCCGTGGGGGTGCCGCCCACGCCGAGACCCTGGCCCGCTCCCCCAGGTGGGGGGCAAGCGGCGAGGCCGCAGAGCAGGGCCTGAGAGGGGCCGCGGCCTGGGCGGGGGCAGGCGGGGAGAGGAGCAGCCCCTAAGCGCAGCCGGCGCCCGCAGGCCCGAGCGCGTGTCGGTGCGCGCCAGCTACCTGTACGACGACGGCTGCGAGCCCTGCGGGAACGACACCTTCAGCCGGGAGCCGGCCGTCGTCAGGTTCTCCTCCCCGCGGACCCGTGAGTGCCGTGGGCCCGGGGCGCGGCGCAAGCCCCCATCGAGTGCTGCCGTGACCCCCGCCCCGCCCCGAAGCCCCTGGGGACAGCTGTCACGCGGTGGCCGGTCCGGCCCTGCTCAGCAGCCGGTGCCTCTGCAGGGGTCACGGACTTTGCCATCGCCCCCCTGCACGCGGCGCCCATGGACGCGGTGCCCGAGATCGACGCCCTCTATGACGTCTACCTGGACATCCGCAAGAAGTGGGGCCTGGAGGTGAGGCCTGCGGGAGGTGGGCTCTGGCCGCCGGGTTCTGTCCCCGGGCCAACGGGCTGGCGCCTCTCGGCAGAACATCCTATTCATGGGCGACTTCAACGCCGGCTGCGCCTACGTGAGCCCCGCCCAGTGGCCGTCCATCCGCCTGCGCGCGAGCCCCGCCTTCCAGTGGCTGATCCCCGACAGCGCTGACACCACGGTCACGACCACGCGCTGCCCGTACGACAGGTGCGCAGGACGCCCGCTCCCGAGCTCCGGCCCGCCCGCGCGGGAAGCGGCGTGGGGGAGCAGGTTCTGGGGACAGCCCCTTGCGGGGTGACATGGTCAGTTCTGCTCCTCTGAGCAGCTCAGCCGGACACGTCCCCCAGAGGGGTGCGCAGTTGGGTCCCCCAGACCAGCGATGAGGCCAGCGTCCACCCAGGGGCTGCGGCGAGCCAGATGGAAACAGGCGCCTGTGGGGTTCTCACTCGGAGCTGCCCGGGAAAGGCGGGGTGCCTGGGCGGGGTGGCGGACCCGGGCCCTCCTCACTGTCCGGCGCTGCAGGATCGTGGTGGCCGGAACTCAGCTGCAACGTGCCGTCGTCCCCGACTCGGCCGGCCCCTTTGACTTCCAGGCCGCGTACAGACTCAGCAGCCAGCTGGTAGGTGTCGGCGGGGCCGGCGGGGCCGGGGCCAGAAGCACAGCGAGGCCTGCGCTCTGGGAGCGCCGTTTCCTTTAACTGGACATCTGTCCACGGCCCCGGGAGCCGCCTGGTCTCGCCCCACGGAGATGTGACACAGCCGGGTGTTTGGGTGCAAACCCCGACCCAGACAACCGTGAGACCGGGGCTGTGCTTGCCACGCATCTCCCCGCAGGCCCTGGCCATCAGTGACCACTACCCGGTGGAGGTGACCTTGAAGTGACCCGCACAAAGGACCGGCGGCGGCTCGTGGGGTCACGTCCAGGTGGAGGCGGCCTTCCATGCAAGCATGGGGTTTGCGGGGAGCACCTACGGCCTCAGTCTACACAGAGAACCCGACACTTAAATTAAGAAATACCTTTTAGTAAATAAAGCTCAAAATGGTGTTTGCACCTGTGGCCTCCAGTCCTTCCTTCCCCCGGGGGGCTCAGGCCGCCTCAGCCCCAAGGCAGAGGAGCTGGCGGTGCCCGCTGCCTCCCCCGACTCTGGCGCGGCCGGGCCGGACATCAGTGCCGCTCCAGGGCCTTGGCCAGCAGGGTGTTGAGGCGGCCCACCATGGGCCTCGGGTCGTCCACGAGCCCCGCGGCGATCATGGCGTTCTCGTAGATCTGAAAGGCGGGGGGCGGGAGCTCAGCTGGGGTGGGGTGGGGCGGGGCGGGCAGGTGCCAGCTCGCAGAAGCGCGGGCGGGAAGGAGGGGGCGTCTGCAGGAGGCTCACCTGGTCCGCGAGCAGCTGGGCCAGCTCGGGCTCCCGCTCCCGGAGCTGGCTGAGCTTCCTGATCAGCGTGTGCCTGCCGGGCAGAAACCACCAGAAAGAAGTCAGCACGGGCCTCCCGCGTCCCGGGAAAACGTGAAGAGGCAACACAAGACAACTAGACGGGCGTGTGAGAGACCACTCACGGGCACTGCGGCTAAGTGCCCCGAAAACCCGCGCGCCCGTCAGTTCTGACGTCGGAAACGTCACTAACGGGTGAGGCGAGCTTGAAGCAGGCCACGGGCTGCCGCCGCCCAGTCCCCAGCTGTTCGATGAGGCCTTTCCAGGAACACGTGCAAGAGCTGGGGTACAGGCCAGAGATGCGGGGGGTGAGAGGACCCACCAGAGACAGAGTGGGGAACAGAACAGGGGGATCCACTGAAACCCACTGCTGAGGGGAGCAGCGGGGCGACGGGAGAGGCCTGCTGCGCCCTGGGGGTAGCTCCCTGTGTGCTGCGGTGGCTTCAGACAGCAGGGAGGGGGGCGCCCTGGTGGGGAGGGGGCACCCTGGTGGGAAGGGACCCTGCGGGGAGGGGAGCGCAGCCCGGGTTAAGGCACGAGCAGGTGCTCACCGGGGGTTGACCTCCAGCGTGGGCTGCAGCAGCTGCGCGCGCTCCTCCTGGGTCTTGGCCAGCTGCTGCATGCGCAGGAAGTGCCGCGCCGCCCCCATCTCCAGCACGGTGATCATCGCGGGGTGCGTGTCCAGCCGCAGGGTCACCTACAGCCAGGTCGGGGAAGGAGGTGAGGGGCCTGAGCTGGGGTCCTGCCGCAGCACCCTGACCAGGCATGGCACTTCTCAGGGCAGAGGGACGCAGCCCCAGGGCCCAGCGAGGCCCCTCCTCCTGGCCATGCCCGCCGCCAAGAAGCAGCAGCCCCAGGACAGGCCTCCTCTGCCACCCCCACCCGTGGGCCTGGCCCCTCCGAGACTGCCCAACTCTACTGCACCCGTAAAACCCCCAGGCCGCAGGGCGGGGCTGTCCAAGGCACAGGCCTCTCCCACGCCCCAGGGGCCCTCTGGCCTCAATGACGACCACAACAGGACAGAGGTCAGACAGGCAGACCCCACAGCTTCCTGGGGCCGCCACCCAGGGGTGCAGGGCCCGTGACGACAAGCTTCCCCGCACGCGCCCTGACACAGGACGTGGGGCTTCACCGCCGGGTGCCAGCGGGCAGCCCTGGGACGAGTCCAATCCGGCTCCAGCCCCGCTCCTGGTCTGACGGGAGGCAGCTCATAGGAGGGGAAGTGATCCCACCTACTCGCGCTTCCACGGGGTACACACCCAACAGGGTGACGCCCATGGCAGGCTCCGCCTGGAGACTCCACCCAACCCCGCAGCTCCTTAGGCCTGGAGCTGCTGGCCCCCCTCGTGGCCACCCGTGCTGCACGCCTGCCTCCCGGGCACGTCCCTGAGCCACCCCCCGCCCCTCCCCGAGAGCTCTGTTCTCCTCGACCTCGCGGCTCTGAGCTCTCTGGAGCCCACCCAGACCCCCACACTAAGAACCCAAGTTGAACTGGACTGTAGCTCCCCGAGGCGAGGTGTGGAGCCCCCTTGTTCCGGGGGCCGGGAGGGCTCTGGGGCCCCTCCCTGCTTTGAGCCGCCCACCGGCCGCTGCTGCCCGCATGCCTGGCTCCCACCTGCTCCACGAAGGGGAGGACACGGCCGCCGGCCGGCAGCTCGCCGCACACGCTGGTCTCCACCTCACGCCACGGCTTCAGGGGCGGCTGGGAGGGCACCCTAGATGGGGACGCGCCCCAGCTGGCTCTGCATGGACCCTGTCCCGGAGCGCCTCACCTTCACGTTGGTGACCCGTGACCCCAGCGCATTTCTCATCCAGGCCAAAAGGTCTTCCGCCTCCTTCTCGGACAGGCTCTCACCAGCTACAGGACAGCACAAGGGGCGCGCTCAGGCACTCCGCACTCCTGCCCTGCGGCTCCACCGGGGTGACACCCAGTGCCAGGCTGCCAGCAAGCTCCCTACACCCACCCTGGCTCTGGCACAATTAAGCAGATGAAACTGGACCTCAGAAAAGACACTTGGTTGCCCGAGGCCTGCAGAAATGTTTAGGACTCAGGGCAACTCCTGAATCTCTGAGGACCCGGGGTCCATTTAGAGGCTCAACAAGCACCAGAGATCTGGGATCTAAACAGGGACGCGTGCTCCCCGGCCACTAAGGGGCTCCCCAACAGCTTTGTCCAGATGGCAGCACAGATCCAAATGGGAAAACCACACAGAAACCCCCATTACAGGATCCAAGAGCCTGAAGCCAGAAATGCCAGCCCTGGGGCCACCCATGCCTCACCTGCACCCCCAGGCCACCCCCTGCCCGAGCTGGGAGGAGAGGAAGCCGACCTGGGGTCGCTTCCTCAAGCTTCTCCTCCTTGTAGTGATCAACCACGATGTCCGTCTCCACCGAGATCAGCTTCTTCTTGTCAAACTCACGCAGGTGCAGCAAAGTCAGCTCGTCGAACTGCTCGTAGCAGAAGAGCACCTGGGGGCCGAGCATGCGGCCTGAGGCCGGGGCCGCGGCCCGAGGCGCCTTGGCACGCACCTGTGCACGGGTTCCGGAGGGAGCTCCGGGCCCTAGTGGAGCAAGCAGGGGCGCGGCCCGGGACCCTGGCGCCTCCCACAGATGCACAAACCAGAGGGCAGACTGGCCGCCAACTCACACGGGCCCTGGGCTCTGTGGCCTCACCCCGAGCGGAGCTCAGGGTCCCCGCAGGTGCTCTGGCTGCGCCTGCTCACTCACCTCCATGTTCTTCCGCTTCATGGCCTCGTAGTAGGGCGAGTGCTCCGCCAGGTGGCGGGTGGGGACGCACAGGTAGTAGATGTTGCGCGTGCCGGGCTGCATGCGGCTGGCGTAGTCCTGCAGGCTGGTCAACTGCCCAGCAGGCAGCGCTGAGGACTCGTATCGCAGCAGCTTGGCAATGTCCTCCTGTGGGCAAAGGGCGGGTCACACTCTGGAGCCCCTGCCAGCAGGGCGGAAGCTCTGGCCGGAGGGAGGGAAGGCTCCAGCGGCCGTGTTCCACTGGTGGTGGCCCCTGTCGGCAGAGGCAGCTCCCTGGAGGCCTGGCGTGGGGCTGGGTGGGCTCCTGCTGTGTCTCAGAAGCCCCACACAGAGCCCAGCCCCTGCCTGCTGCAGGCACTGGGCATGGGCATGCCATCCATGCTCCCAGCCTTCCCCAGCCAGGAGGGCCGGGCACACACTTGACAAGGGCCCAAGGGAGAGGCTGGCCCCACCTCCCGCTGTCCACATTGCAAACCCGGCTGCAGGAGCCGCCTCCACCTCGGGTGGGAGCCGCAAGAACGGAAAGGGAACAGCAGCCGCCGGGGCGGGGGGCCGTGTGACCCAAGACACTCTGACGACCATGCACCGCGGCAGCAGGGCCATGGGCAGGGCGGGGTCCAAAGGGAGGCAGAGACAGGGTGCGGGGGGCCTGAGACCCCCTCTGCAGGTAGAGGTTCCGCTTGTGCCTACCGCACGGGTCACGGGCCTCGTTAACAAACGCGATCGCGTGCAGTGAGCCCAGGGCCCCCAAGCCTGTAGACGCCCCAGCACGCGGGGCGGCCGGGAGGTGCCGGGAGCCAGAACTGGGTTGTGGGAATGAGGCCTGCTCAGGGCGGGGCTGCTGATGGCAGGGGGGTTGAGGGGGGCAGGGAGCCCACACAGCAGCCCTGATGCCTGTAGCTACCGCCCCCGCGGCCGGGAGACCCCTGGGCCCCAGGCCCTGTCACCTCCTTCCTTCTGCTCTTCTGGAACGAAAGACGCAGCCCCAGCGCTGGGGGCGACCACCCAACGCACAAGGGCTACGTTTCTGGGTGACAGCGTCCTGGACCTGGACGGGGGGATGGCCGCGCAATGTGTCCTCAGCGCTGTGCAGCTGTTCCCCCAAAAGGATGAGTTTTGCGGTATGTGGATTGTACGTCAATTTAAGAACGACCAAAAATGTTGGTGAGAAGTTAACCGTCCCGTCTGGTAGACGAGCTCGGGCCCGTGACTGCCCATCACGACGAACCTGCTCTACCCACCCTGCGCAGGCCAGCCACCGGGATGCCCCTCAGACGAGGGTGGGGCCCCTGGAACGAAGGGTGAGGACACCCCACCCCCCGGGTGCTGGGCCTGCTGGGCCCACAGAGAGATCCAGCGGCTGCATTTGCTGACTTGGCTGGGGTAGGGGCGGGGTGCCCGGCCCAGGAGGCCCGAGCTCAGGTTTCTGGCCTCCACCAGCTTCCCCCCGAGAGGCCCGGACCCCAGGCAGTCCAGAGAGGGGCCTGGACCGCAGACCCTACCTTGACCGCCTGCTCTGCTGTGGTCACGATGCCCTCCCGCATGAACAAGCCGTAATCTTCAAAAAACTTGGCATATTTTTCAGGGTCTTTCTTACTCTGGTCAACGAAGAATTTGATGAGCCTCTGCTGCAGAACGTCCCGGAGCTTCCTGCAGACAGGGGCACGTTCACCACACACGCCTGGGCTGCTACGCAACCGTCAGGGGGTGTGAAAACTGCAGCCCCACGGATTATAAAGGAGAAGAAAAGATAATGTTTTGGCCAAGCTGAGAACGAAGCAGGGAGAAAAGGCGACCCCGCAGATGCGTCAGGAGGCCCACAGGCCCCTGGGCGGGCGCATGGCCACACCGAGGAAGAGTGTCCACCCAGCACCAGGCTCCCCCTCAGGGAATGACCCTGAGCCGCCCCCGAGCCCCGTGGACCAGGGTGTCCCTGGAGCGCCAAACCAATCGCGGACAAGCCTAGTCTCCACAGGGAAAGCTCAAATGCCAGAAGGCGCCACGCCCATGAGCGCCCATCCCCTAGGGCCTTCGCAGGAGGGGGCGTCTGTGAGAGGGAACCCTGACAAGGGCAGGTGTGCGTGCTGGGCCTGCCAGCAACTCCGCTGCCACCAGCACGCGGCGGCCATGGGGCCCAGGGTGTCCACCCGGCGCCGAGTGGGCATCACGCGCGAGCAGCTTCAGTGGGCCCGGGGTAACGCCACCTCCTTCTTGAGGTTCAAGAGTGAGGTCACCCTGCACTTCCTAATAACCCCAGGCAAGGGAGCAGTGACGGTCAAGTTCCTGTGCGTGCCCCCTCTTCGCTCCCTCCCGAACGTCTCCTTCACCCGCAGCGCGGACAGGGACGGGGCGGCCCTGCACCTGTCGGGTGGGACGTGGCGCCTGAGGGGGGCATCCCCGCGGGGCTGGAGGGGCCAGCAAGTGGGTCCCCAGAGAAGGGTGTCCAGGCTGGGAAGCAGGCGGCCCATGTGGGGGGGAGGGCACCAACATGAGGGGAAGCGGTGGTGATGGCAACCTGGGGTGGGGGGCTGGTCAGGGTCTACATGTTGTGGGGAGAAAGGGCGCCGGCGGGCAGCGAGGCTGGCTGTGCAGGGTGAGTGTAGGTGCACACGGCAAGCCTGTGCCCTCTGAGGGCAACCGGGCCCTCGTGACTCCACACACCAGCCTCCATCCAGAGGCGGCAGAGGCCGGGGGGCAGGGATGAGAGGAGCAGACGGGGGCCAAGGACAGAGCGCCTGGGTCTGTGCCAGGAGCAAGGCGGCTGCGATGTGAGTCACCCGAGGGCTCTGCCGCCCCCTGGGCAGCACGTGGGCACCTCAACGGGGACAGCAACTCACATGGCCCGCGGGGTCGGGGACTCGCTCAAGTCCGTTGATAAATGGCTGTCAGGCCCTGGCCCCAAGGTCAACAGCACATCAAGGCCATGCCCCAAATCAAGGCATGGGGTTCCCTGCGACTCCCGGTGGCTGCAGCGCGCCGTCCGGGGCACTCACACAGGGGAGGCGCCGGTACCACAGGGAGGCCCACCGGCCTGAGGACGCTGCAGCCCAGCCATGGGGTCCAGCACGCTCGCAGCCCGCTGGGTGGGCACGGACGACCCCCACCCGAGACCCTCAGGATGTCCAGCTCAGGAAGACGGTGAAGGAGCAGGAAGGAGGCCCACGAGAGGGGCGGCCAGATGGACTCAGACTCGGGCACAGAGCGGGCCTCGGGGCGCGGCCATGGCAGTGGGGCACCCTCACCACCTTGCTGACTCAAGCAGCCGTGCTGAGCTCAGAAGGTGCTTGTTGGGGGAACGAGCACTAAGGTACCTGGGAGTGGGGCTGTCGTGCCCGCAAGGGCTCAGGGGGTCATGCCCCAGCGCGGCCCGCCTCACCTGATGAGCGCGCTCTCCTGCAGGAGCTCCCGGCTCAGGTTCAGGGGCACGTCCTCGCTGTCCACCACACCTGCGGGCACGCGCATCAGCACCGGCCATGGCCCGCCAGCGCCCGCGTCCTCCCCAAGGTCCGGTGGGAGGTCAGGCCGTGTGTGGGTTAGAGGGAAGCGGGAGAGACCCAGGGAGCTGGAAGGAGCCCCCAAACCCCAGTCCCGATGGGCGCCGGCATTGAGGCACAGCCCGGGACGAGGTGAGAGCGAGGCCGGCGGGCGGGCCTGTGGCCGGAACAGTTCCCAGGAGCCCGGCGTCAACTCCCATCCTGAAAGCCACCTCCTGGGCCTTACGTTCAAAATCACAGGTATCGGGAACGCCTGCCCTTTGCGTGCGAGCTGGCAGAGGCTGGAGCGCTGAGCTCCGCCAACTCTGAATCTCACTCAAATTAAAGCAACTCACGTATCAACACAAACTTGCAATCTTTTTAAACATTCATGGAACTCAATCTAAACTGCACCCTTCCGGGGTCTCCCGGGTGGCACAGGGGTTAAGTCTCAGCACTGTCAAGCTGTCGGTAGCCACTGCAGCACAAGTTTGATCCCCGGCCAGGGAGCCACCCACAGGGCGCAGCAGACCTCTCCTGTCTCCCCGCTGCTCCCCTCAGGAGTATGTCTCAGTGGATCCGCCTGTTCTGCTCCCCACTGTCTCTGGTGAGTCCCCCCCCGACCCCTGCACGTAGGGCCTAGACCTTGTATGCATAAATAAGTATTAAAAACACAAACTGCACCCTTCTGCCCCATCAACATGGACGCGGGCACCTCCTGGGGAGCTGAGCTGCTCCCCACAAGTCCGGCCCCCCAGGTGCTGGCCTAACGCCTACACAGCAGCGAGCAGAGAGCGAGTGCACAGCCTGCAGGGGAGGCAGCCAGCCCACCAGGCCCCACAGGAGCCTCTGGGCCTAGGCCTGGGCCCTACTGCCCGCCCGGAGCCCGCGCATTGCACCTCGGATGAACCGCAGCCACTTGGGCAGGATGTCAGCGGCCTTGGTTTGGATGAGGACCTTGCGGCTGTACAGGGAGACGCTGGAGCCCAGCTCCCGGCTCACGTCAAACATGGACGGTTTCTGGGGGAGGAAAGCGCAGGGTCAGGCTCAAGGAAGCAGCAGCTGTAAGGCGAGCTGCAAGGGAAACGCTGATCATTTCTGAGAACCAATTCCTCCCCGCCAGGGGCGGGAGCTGTGGGGCAGGCATCCCGCGGCCTACAGCAGGGAGGCCCCACAGTGGCTCCCGCAGGGCCGGGCAGCTTCTTTGGGAACAGCAGTGGCTGAGCACAGAGAACCGAGCTTTCCAAGCAGATCCGGACGGGTGTAGGGCCTTCAGGGGCCTGTCGCAGGTCAATCAGGGGGCACCTGTCCGTAGACCAGGGCTCTCCCTTGTTGCATGACCCCCCAGGGAAGGAGGGAGATGCCAGGAGACCCCTCCCTGGCCCTGGGAGGTGCCCAGCATGTCTGTGTCACCGGCCCTGAGAGCGGGGGGGAAGCTTTAAAACACCGCTCACCACACGAGCGCGGGCTTCCCTCACTCTGACGCTGCCTGTGGGGTGCCCGCGCTGCCACCGCCCGCCAGAGCCTGGCCGCTCACCATCTCCGGCACATAGAAGATGCTGCGGATGCTGAGCGGGGCGTCAGTCTGGTAATGCAGGGTGTAGCGGGGCCGGTCGGAGGCCTGGGCCACGTAGCGGTAGAACGCCTCGTGCAGCTCGGCACCCACGTCCTTGGGGTCCAGCATCCACACAGCCTGGAGGGTGAGCAGGCCCACCAGGCTCCCAGCTGCCCTCCTGAGGCTGCGGGGCCGAGTCGTGGCCAGGGACCAGGGTGTGGGTGATTAAGCCCTTGGGATGAACACAGACCTACCTCCTGGGAAGGACGGGGGTGGGGAGCCACCCAGCCCCTTGTCCTGGGCCTCTCCACACCAGCCCCTTGTCCTGGGATCTCTGCCCGCCAGCCCCCAGGCAGCGCAGAGGCTCACCTGCAAGGTGTTAACGCGCCTGCCGTTCAGGTACAGGGGGAAGCTGACGAAGTTACTGTACTTGGTCACCACATCTGGAGAAGACAAGAAACACTCCTGGAGACAGGAGTGCTGCAGGGCCAAGGAGGGCCCTCCTGATGGCACATAGGGGCTCAGCTGGGCCAGGCGCCTCACGGCCCAGGCCACGTGATCCGCACCGCCAGGCCTCCGGGGGCATCCACGGGGTGGGGGGAGCACCCGGCAGGCGCGGAGGAGCCCTGCTCTCCAGGGCCCGGCACCAGCGGCGGCATCCGCGCACACGGCAGGGTGACGACGGGCCGTGGGGTGCTGCTCACAGCGGGCGGAGAGAACAGAACCAGATCCTGCCGGCAAACCTGCTCCCCTGGGCTCACACTGGAGGCAGCAGGGAGCCGGCCGAGCAGCCTAGGGCGCCCGCCCTCCCAGCCCCCCAGGGCCCTCACCTCGAACCCGGGCCTCGCTGGCAAACTCTCTGTTGTCTGACTTGAGGTGGATGATGATCTTGGTGCCGGTTCTCACTCCGGAGGCTTCGGCAATTTCAAACACCCCAGAGCTGAGACACAGAAAGGAAAGCAGGTTCCGCTCACGCGAGTCCCACATGACCATCAGGACTCTCTTCTGTGGATTTTCACAAGCTGAGCCCAAAACAGCATCAGGAAAGAAGCCAGAGCCGCCACTTGGCACCGAGAGCCCCAGGACCAAAGAAAGCCCCACGAGGACCAGCCGGGATGTGGGGCACAGGGCCTCCCTGGAGGAGCTCTCGGGCCTGTCTGCCTGAAGCGGCCTGGGTGCTGCTCCAGGTGCCAGAGGCGGCAGGTGGGGTGCACGGCCCCTCACCTGTGCTAATAACCCCACGCACATCTTAACCTGCAACCTCCTCATGCGAACAGGGAAAACTGTTTCACGGGCACAGAAGGGTGCCAGCCGGGGTGTGCTGGGAGCACCGCCGTCACAGAGTGCGGCAAAAGCCTCAGCTCCAACCAGGGCACGAGCTGAGCCCCGCCGGGCCTCTTGCGCCACACGCTGCTGGGACAGCTGCTGGGCTCACGCGGAAATGAAGGTCCCCAAGAAGCCGCCGGGCAGCTGTCCTCACTCCCGGCAGTGCGGCCAGCAAGGCACAGCTGCACAGCCCAGCTGCGGGGCTCTCGGGGAGGACCAGCCAGAGCCAGGTCTAAGGGGGCAAGGCTTGGAAGCCAGAGGATGGCCATCAAGAGCTGCCCGGCCGCGCAGCTCCCAGAGCACGAGGACAGAAATGCCAGCTCCTGGGCCTCAGAGGCAGGAAGAGCAACTGGTCTCAGGTGAGGCTCAGGCTTTGTGTAAGAAGCGCTTGCGGGCACATTCCGAGCAGCTGGGCGCTGGCATGCTAATGGGCAGGCTCCACTGAGTCCCACTCTGCACACAGGCTGTAGGGGTACCAGCGCATGGCAGGGCTGCCCTCACTCACCCGTCTGAAAGCCACTGGTAACCGGGGCTGCCGGGCTCCGCCGAGCGGGAATAGACCTCGACCCTGTCAGCCACCATGAAGGCCGAGTAGAAGCCCACTCCGAACTGACCGATGATCTTGCTGCTGGCCTCGGCCTGGCTCTGCAGCGCGTCCAGAAAGGCCTGCGGGGGCGAAGGCTAGTCAGAGGGAGGGAGGGCACCCCCCTAGGAGACGCCCTCTCACAAGGCACCCTGCTCACACGGGCCGCACTCGGAGCAGTGTGGCGACGGAGCGAGCCCCCAGCCGCGCGGGTCGCCCACGCACGGGGCCCTCCTGGCTGGTGGCCCCTGGACTCGGTGGGTGAAGGGAGGAGACTTCTGTGTCTCCCTGACTCTGCGCTTGGTGGGAAAGAGTCTGTGCCTCTGGAGAGGCACCGTCACGGGGACACGTGCCCCAGGCGGCCAGCCGGGCGCTCTGCGACGACGGGAACACGCAGGGTCCAGCTCGCGAGCGCAGCCATGGGCCACGGAAACGTAGCTAGTGTGACCAAGGAGTTCAGCTTTAAATCACATTTAATTTTAAGTAATTTAATTCATCAAATAGCGACATGTGGCAGTGGCTGCCGCTGAGGCAGCCAGGCCTCCCCGCTAGCATCCCACAGGACGGGCGGGGGCGGTTCCAATCAGGCGGCTGTTTAAAGTAGAGATTTCTGGGAATCAGTTTGGAGTAACAATGAGATGATTTTCAACCACTTGACACAAAGCGTCATGTCGGCACCAGAGACCCTCCCAAGCCGAGCAGAAAAGCCCCTGGCTCTGAGGAGAGCGCGCAGGTGGCCACAGGAGACAGCAAAGTGGCTCAGACACCTTCACCGTCAACACTGGTCCCACCTCGTGAGCTTCGAGTTCCACCTCAGCCCCTCACCCAGCAGCTGCAGCCTCAGGGACCACCAGCTGCCACACCAGGGCCAGCTCATCCTCGGACTCCGCCGTCCACAGCCACAGCCTCAGGTCTGCGGCTCCAACAATTGCTGAGAGTGAGCACAGCGCCAGGAGGACAGACTCCCAGGCTCCCCTCTGGCCTCTGAACCTGGGCCAGGCGAGCCCCAGCTAAAGGCAAAGCAGCAAGCGACGGGGCGGGTGCTGAGAAGGTGTGCTGGGGAGGTCCCTGAACGTCATACGGTGTGACGCACACCTGGACGGTGGCGCCGACATACCGGGCCATGCCCAGCCCATGGGACCACGGCTGCCTGTGGGGTCTGTCCCTGGCCTGAACGTCGCTAAGGGACACACAACCGCTCTCATTCCAGCCCTGTCACCCATAACATCAAAGCACTCAGGCCCCCACGAGGATGCCAAGGAGTCGCGTCCACAGCATGCGCTCAGCACTTCCCCGCCCCCGCACAACCCTATGCGAGTGGCATGCTGGGACACGCCTGGGGGAGAGGGCAGCAGAACCCAAGGAGAGGGCAGAGGGGGCTTACCTTTGACCCTGACCTGGCGATCGTTCCCAGGTTGGACACCAGCTCCTCCTGGGTCATCCCGATGCCAGTATCCTGAGGACAGAAGGACGCTCGCATCCAGACACCTGCCCCCGGGAGCAAGGCAAGGCGCACAGATGCCAGAGGAGCCAGGGCAGGCGGGCCCCGGAAGGGTCGCCAGGCAGTGCTGAGGAAGCCTCATGCTGGCTGCACCACCAGCCCCGACGAGGAGCCCCCGAGAGGGCAGACGTGTCCTTCCCAAGTCGGGAAACAGAGCCCAGAAGCAGAGCCGCAGACAGAGCCGCCTGATTCTGGCAAAGCAGCCAGGTCATGGCGGGGGGCGGGGGGGGGGAGGAGCAAAAGGAGCGGTGCCATGACAGCTGGACACACGTGCAGGCCACGGGGCACCCGCACGCAGGAGGAGAGCTGAGATGAACATGTCTAGAAAAACCCGGTGGGCTCTGGCATTGGCCAGGACTTCTTAGATTAAGTCGCTAAAAGCATTAAAAAGTGACTTGATGAAAGTCTGCTTTTCTGAAGCAAATAAATAACAAGGCAGGCCACAGACTGGGAGGAAGCACCCGCAAGGTGTGACTCTGACTAGGACTCGCACGTAGGATCACACGGAACTTACAACTCAGCAAAGAAGATAATCTGATTAAAGTGAGCAAAAAATCTGAACAGGGCCTCCGTGGTGGCGCAAGGGGTTAAGATGCAACCTATGAAGCTGTCCGCAGCCACTGTAGCATGAGTTCCATCCCCGGCCAGGGAGCTACCCACATGGCACAGCAGACCTCTCCTGACTCACCGGCTGCTCCCCTCAGCAGTGGATTTCAGTCCATCTGTCTGCCCTACTCCCCACGCTGTCTCTGGTGAATCCTCTCACCCCCCACACCTCTGGCCTGTGCCCCAGCTCTTGTATGCATAAATAAATAAATCTTTTTTTAAAAAAAAATCGGAACAGCCACTTCACAAAGAAGTTATATAAATGGCAACTAAATGCACAAAAAGTAGTTTAATTCCATTACTCCTAAGGAAATACAAATCAAAAGCACAGTGGGATGCCCCGGCACGGCTGCGGCTGGGACTGGCCATGTCAGCCAGCAGGGCACTGCAGTCCTCGACTGGCAGGGCCTGGCCCTTCCCAGTGAGGTCAGGGGATATTCACCTTAGGAGTCAGCACGCCCAGGGACCTACCCCAGAGAAGCGAAACACAGGCTCCCAGACACCGGGCGTACAGATGCTCACGCCAGCCCTGCTCCTCTCCCCCAGGCCGGGACAAGCCCAGGCCTGCTGGGAGTCGCCACTCCAGGCCCCCGTGGCGGCCCTGCGGCCACGAAGGAGCTGGCTCTGGCTGCAGCCACGGCTGGTCCCCTGCCCACCTGTGTCTGTGCAAGCGTCTCCCTAATCAACCTGTCCTTTAAAATGTGAAAACAACAACAACAGCCACAAGGTCCTGCCACATGCAAACCCAGGAAGAGCCTCAAAAGCACCATGGGAGGCTAGGGCAGGCGGGCTCGGCAGAGCGACGCTGTCCAGGCCCCAGAGAACACGAAACAGAGCGACAGAGCAGGCCAGTGGTTTCCAGGGCCTGGAAAGGGGCAGGGCCTGGGGTGGTAACATGGTGATGTATGGGCTGCACAGGTGTGCACGCTGGTTAAACTCACCAACTGCACCCTTGCGCATGGTGAATTTAGCACATGTCGCTCACACCTCAATAAAGCCCACTGACCACAGCTGCAGCAACAGAGACACGCAGGCCCGGGAGCGCAAGTGCACGAGGGACACCACAGAGTGCTGGCAGGGCTGCCGTTCAGGTGCAGAACGTCCCCTCCCCCAGAGAGGCACACTCCCAACGCCGCCAGCCACACTGAAAGCTGGTCCCAAAGCAGCTGAGAGCACAAAGTCCCACAGGGCCGCCACCTGCTGACCACCCCCCTTCTGCCTTTAACATTTTAACTTGAAATCTTCAAAAGGCTACATAAGAGCAACCGAAAGGATCCCTTGGTCTACAGCACGACTAGTGAGCCCCACGGTGGGCTGCAGTCAGAGACCCACCGGCATATGATGGTGTGGGGAGAGTGCGGTTGAGATGTGAAAAGTCACTTAGGGCTTCCCTGGTGGCTCAAGGGGTTAAGACACAGCCTATGAAGCTGTCCACAGCCTCTGCAGCACGAGTTCGATTCCCCACCAGCCAGGGAGCTACCCACATGGCATGGCAGACCTCTCCTGTCTTGCCCGCTGCTCCCCTCAGCAGTGTGTTTCAGTAGATCTGCCTGTTCTGCTCCCCACTCCGTCTCTGGTGAATCCTCTCACCCCCCCATCTCTGGCCTGTACCCCAGCTCTTGTATGTACAAATAAATAAATCTTTAAGAAAAATAAAAGAAAAAAAGGTCACTTAAAAGCTGCCCGCAGCCTCTGCAGTGCCAGTTCGATCCCCGGCCACCGGGCAAGGGTCCCACATGGCGCGCAGACCTCTCCTGCTGCGCCCGCTGCTCCCCTCAGCAGTGTATTTCGTCAGTCTGCCTGTTCTGCTCCCAGCTCTGGCTCTGGTGAATCCTCTCACCCTCCCGCGCTTCTGACTGTGCCCAGTGCTTGTATAAATAAATAAACAAATCTTTAAAACAAAAAAACAACAACAGAGTTTAAAACACGTCCAGCAGCTCTCGGCCACCCCAGCCGTGCCTGCGCAGGCACCTCCACCCATGTGTGCCCACGGGAGCACCTTCTCTTTCCTTTCCCTTGTTAAATATAATAAACCCACCCTTTTGGGTATGGAAAAAAGTTTGCATTTATACATAAGCACAGACATCAAAACCCAAATAAACAAACTAAAATGCTAACCAACACCATCCCTGAATAATGGCTTGATTTAAAATTTTCGTCTCTCCTGCTCATCTGTGTTCCCCAGCTTCTACGGGAAGTGAGGTTTACATTTGAGTGAACAGAAAGGCGGTCAGCCCGCGGCGCGGCCGCCCACCTGCACGGTGAGGGTGCCCTTCTCGGAGTCGGTCTGCAGGTGGATCTCCAGCTCCGGCAGCGTCTGGCCCGCAGACACCAGCTTGTGGCGCAGCTTCTCCAAGGCGTCGCTGGCGTTGGAGATCAGCTCCCGTATGAACACCTGCGGGGGCGCGAGCAGAGGCCCTGCTGCAGAAGCGAGCCGCCAGGGGCCTCTCGGTGCAGGCTGAGAGTCGGGGGCCGCCCATGTCTAAAGGATGGACTTGCTGCCTCAGCCCAGGGAGGGGTCTGCAGGGCCGGTCGCAAACGACCCAAGGACTCGGCCCCTCCCTGAGGCCTGGCAGTGAGGGAGCACTCTGCTCCTCCCGAGGTCCAGCTAAGGTTCTACCCACCTGCCTGCTCTGGCTTGCTGAGGGGCGCGAGTGAGACGCAACTCCCCCGACTCGTCTCCCCCAGTCTCCAGGGAGGCGACCCGCTGGCTTCACAGAACAGTGGGCTCCCTGTGCTCCATCAGCCCCGCCCCTTGCCCTGGCAGAGGAGGAAGCGGGGCAACCACCCCTAAGAGGAGCGATGCTGGACCTCGCACGTGAACCTGAGCAGAGGGACTGTCCAGCATGGGACCTGGCTGCATCTCCCGCAGGCGCTGCCCAGGTGCCGAGATTGTCTTTCAAATTCCCGCCTGCCTTCTGGTGACAACCAGCGTGGGGACAGTCACGGCCCATTTGTTCTTCTCTACCTCTTCTGCGTCCTGTCTCCCCCAGGTGAGCCTCACTCTCCTCAGGAGGCGCCCCGAGGGCAGGGATCTTCCTCCCCCAGCACCGAGGGTGGTCACTTGACGAAGGTGGCGACACCTGGTGCCGCTGAATGAACGCGCTGGGCACACGCCAAGGCGCCCCTGCGATGGACCTCAGCTGCCCAGACCAGCAGCTGCGGGGTTTGAAATCACCAGCGACACTCCCTCCAGCGCCAACCTGGCGCGAAGGACCACCCGGATATACGTGTCTGTGAGACACAAATCGTGGTCCAAGCCCTATCCCGGTGGCGGCCATGGCTCTGTCCAAGCAGGGTGCGCTCACAGGGTGCACCTGCCCCGGCTCCCCGGGGCAGCACCAACACGGTCCCACCGGCCCGAACGCAGGGCCCGCTCCCTACCTCCTTTTCTGAGTACAAGGAACGGGCAACGATGTCGAGCAGCTTCTTGGTCTCAGCCTGGAACTCGTGCTTGGAAGCGGACCCTGCAAGGAAGCAGACGCCGTCCAGAAAGCTCCGGCCCACTGGCGTGGGAGGACACGCGCAAGCTGGGCCACCGCCCGGCACCCCGCTCCACTTGAGAGCTTCCCCCCTAGCACTAAATCTCTTGCTTTTCCCTTAAAAAAGTACACGCCAAGAGCGTTCGAAACGACGCTTGAGGCAGAATGCTTCACACTGTTCAAAAGAGCAGCACAGGAGAGAAACCCAGGCTCTGGCGCTCTCTGAACAGCCACCGCTGGGCCCGCAGCAGGGGCTGGTGGGCAGTCACCCGTCAGGTCTTCAGAGAGTAAAGCGGCCGGGCCCACTGTCCTCCCCACGCCCAGCCCCTGGCCGCCCCCGCAGAAGGCCCGAATGGCCGTGCTCAGGGCCGCCGGTGGGACAGCGCCAGCAGCAGCTGTGCGAGTGGCTCGTGCGGGGGTCACCCTCCGGAAGGTGCCATCAACAACGCACTGGGGGGGCCCACCCTCGACCCCCCAGCACCTTGCACGGCCTCTGTGCTGCTGATGAGGGGGCGCAGGGGCTCCTCCTTCGGGTCCTCGGCCGCCTGGGAGCTGAAGTGCCGGCCAGTGGAGAGGCCGGAGGCCAGGTTTCGCCGGGGCCCCGCTGCTGGCATGGCAGCCCTCCAAGGATGTGGGCCCGGGCTTCCTGGGAAGACAGACAGCAGAGCAGGGGAGCGTTAGGGAGGCAGCAGGGGCCGAAGTCCTCATCTGCTCCCGTCTGGGCCAGCGGAGCTGAGCCGGAGTCCCCAAGACCCGGCGTCCCCCAGGGGCCGGCGGAGGTGAGCGGGCCGGCAGCGCAGCCACGTCGCGAGCAGCCTGGCAGCAGGACCTCACACACGGCACATCTGTCCGTAAAGTCCCAGGGCCGGGCTGAGCTGTGGTGCCTCCCCGGCGCACACGCACAAGAGTCTTCCCTGCTGTGTGACCGTCTCGAAGTAAAGCCCCTGCCTGAGTCCCAAGGAACCTATTTCCAGACAAGGTCACGCTCGCAGGGAGCGGGTGAGACCTGGGACATGTTCTCGGGGCACACGATCCAAACCCTGACAGACTGGTGACCACGAGGGTGTGCCTCAGCCCCCCAGGCCCCGACGCAAAGCACCGCAGGCGGTGGCTCACGCGCCCGTGCATCTCCAGGCGCTCCCTCAGGACATCTCAGCCCGATCAGAGGCAAAACCCCATTTCTGAGTAAGGTCACATTCAAAGGTGCTGGGCATGAGGGTTTCAATACCATTTCGGGGGCACACCGCTGGTGATGGGAGCAGATGAGAACGGTGGTAGGAGTGGGGGGGGGTATCTGTGGGAACACGACATTTCCGAGGGCACCTTCTGGCACACGGGGCACTCTCCAGGTGAGCAAGAGACCCTGGGGTGGGGGCATGGGCCAAACTCCACAGTAACAGTCATGCCATCCAACTGCATCAGGAGTAAGGCACCCCTGAAAGCAGACAGGAGCCCCAAGTCCCTTCAGAAAGTGGCATGTTGTGCACGTGACCCCTCCGCAGGGCCCCACACATGGCACGCCCGCTCCGTGCACAGCACCTTGGGGATTCTGACGCCACCCTGCACGTGCATGAGCTCACGAGCGCGGAAGGGTCACATGGGCAGGGGTCAGGAGGGCGCATGGATGAGGTGAGGGGGCCAGAATGACCCCTGCCCCGCGGAGTCGGCCTGGAAGTGGCAGCGCGGCAGGAGGCGGTGAGGCCCGGATCAACACAGCCCACGGCGGAAATAAGCACCAAGGAGGTGCGGAGAACACACAGGCACCTCCCGGCTCCGTCCCCCCACAGGTCAGACGCGACAACAGTGACACCACAGGCCGCGAGCACACCTGGCCCAGGGAGAGTGCCCCACCAGGGCTGCCCCCACGGGCCCCAAGCCCTGGACACATTGGGGTGCCCCCAGCTCTCAGTCTGGGGGTGCCGTTCTCCAGGGAAGGGAACCAGGGCCCCAGGGAATGCACAGCAGGGGGTAGAAGTGAAGAAGGGCTGAGATGTGGCGCCTGGGGACGCGGGCTCTGAGGGGAAGGGCCCCCGGGGAAATCGAGGACCCCACGACGACGACAGCAGTGGACTGCGTCCCGTCGGCGCACGCTCAGCCAAGAGCAGAATGACACTGGGTGGGGGGGCGGTGGACACAAACCCACGCGGCAAACCCATATCAGCACCCACTGGAAACAACATCTGCACCCTCTCAAGTCACCCCCACACGATACTTACTGAGTCCGAAGAGAACAGTGGTTCACAGTGGAGAAGCGCAGAGCCCCCAACTGCTCCTGCAGGCACAGGAGCCAGGCCTGTCACCGCCAGCACCCCCAAGCCTCAGGAGCGAGGGCGCGGCCTCCTTTCAGCTGTGTTCCACCCCCATCTGGCCACAGGAAAACACCAGGCAGACCCCCGCCGAGGAACCTCCCTCGAGTCACAGGCCAGCACTGAGGGAGGTAAGCAGGCCCCGAAGGACAGGCAGATGCGGAGAGCCACAGACTGGGGGAGCCAAGGCCGTGCCTGCGTGCACTGCGGGGTCCTGGCCAGGGGCGGGCAGCAGCGGGACGCTGGCTCGCTTCTAGAGCCGGATCACATAACACTGCTGTGTCAGAGTCATTTCCCTTTCCAAAGACATTAGCCTTAGGGGAAGCGCGGGGCAGAAGGCGGAAACTGTGGACTGCTTCTCTAACATCTCTGCAAAATGAGACATTTCCAAGAGCTCCAGGATGTCTCTGAGGACTGTCCCTGCACACAAGTCACTTCATCAATGCACGAGCTCACGTCTTCACATCCAGCTAGGAGGGGAGCCACCAGCTCCAGGTGACACCAGTTTAAACCATGGTGAGAGCTGTCAGGTTGCTCTCCAGTCATGCCACACCCCTGCACACCTGTCAGGTGACCTCCACACAGAATCATGCCACACCCCTGCACACCTGTCAGGTGACTTCCACACAGAATCACGCCACACCCCTGCACACCTATCAGGTGACCTCCACACAGAATCATGCCACACCCCTGCACACCTGTCAGGTGACCTCCACAGAGTCATGCCGCAGACCCCTGCAGACCTGCTGTTATGAAACTTCTGGATTTTTGTCTCTTGAGCATGTAAGACAATTTCATTTCCAGTCTATTATGAGCAAGCCTGAGTATCCACATTCTGAAATATTTTCTATTTCCTTGTTCGTTAATGGACTGCTGATACCTTCTGATCATTTTTCTAATTTTCATGTTTTTTTGTTATTGATGTCTTACAGCATTTATAAAGAAATTAGTCATTTGTTGTAAAGGCCTTCTTCACTCCAAGACAAAACACAATTTTCCCATTTTATTTTTCTTACTCCTTTTTACTCCCCTCTGCTTAATATTTCTGAAAGAATTTAATAAGTTGTTTAAGATGGAAATATATTTAAGTCCTCATAATTGGGCTTATATACATATTTCAAACCAGGGCTTTCAAGACTTCCCATCATAATTCCAAGATTACACTGATCAATTGCACTATTTTTTTAAATAAGATTTATTTATTCATGCCTATAAGAACTGGGGTACACAGGCCAGATGCGTGGGAGGGTGAGAGGATTCACCAGAGACAGAGCGGGGAACAGAACAGGCAGATCTAGTAAAACCCACTGCTGAGGGAGCAGCGGGCGCGACAGGAGAGGTCTGCTGCGCCCTGTGGGATTCTCTCTGGCCAGCCGGGATTGAACTCGTGCTGTGGACAAAGGCTGTGGACAGCTTCACAGCGCGGCGCTCAACCCGCTGTGCCACCAGGGGAAGCCCGATCAATTGCATTGTTATAGGCAGATTTGATTTCAGGTTAACAGAAATTGCTACGACCTTAAACAATAGTGCAATAAATCTGCCTGACCCAGTACAAACACACTATCTACATGGTATCCGCCACCATGCTTCCCCCAACACCCTAAAGGAAAAACCACAAACCTCAGTGTTAAGTTACAAAGTCGTACTATTAACCTGTTTGGTGGTTTGGGGTCACACAAAATGGGAAGCACCAATAGCCTGAATCTGACACAACACACACACAGCACTCTCTCTCTCTCTCTCTCTCTCTCTCTCGCCCCATCTGTGCCAGCAGGCTGTTCCCTCTACTGGCAGCATGTGCCTTCTTGCCATCTGGCCTTCTTCGGCCCAGTGTGGGGGTGCTCCTATCCCCTCAGGCCTCTGGCCCTCGGCTCACAAGGTCTTTCCCTGCTAGAGGACAGCGCCCTTGCTTGTGGACTGCTCACCTGGACATGCTGCAAGTGCCAGCCAGTGGCACTTCTACTCTCTCTTAACTCTTTGTTAATGTATAATTTATCTCACTAACACTGGGTCAGGACTAAGTTTACATCTCTTAGCAGCAGGCTCCTTGAAGGCAGAACACCGACAATTCCAGGTGTGCCAAAGCTTCCAGTGGGGAAGCAGTTCCTTGTACTGTCAGGAACCTTAATCAGCACAAACTTCATCAGACTCGAGCAGAAGCACATTCGGCCAACAGATGGCGTCCGGGTCCCGTCAGGCCATTTCTGACTAGTTGGCAGGAATTAAAAAACGCAACTGCCCACAGGGCTGCCGGGGCAGGCAGGCACGTGCGTCACAACCCACTTGGTGAGTCCTGCTCTCCAATCACCCATCTCTCTGCTGCACCAGCACAGCTTACTGTGGCCTGGCTTCACTGTGGCATCTGAAGTTACATGCTGGACACACAGACGTGCTGAGGAAGTTAAGCTGTGAGAGATACACTGGAGTTTCCTGGATTTACACACCCCAGTCAATCTCCCACTATTGGTATAAATTCTACAGATGTTGAAAGGATCAGGAAATAGATACAAATGTATGCCAGGAAATTGGACAACTTAGATGAAATAAACAAATTCCTTCAAAAAATGAAATTCATCCAAAGTGACAGAAGATGAAACGGAAATTCTGAATTGCTTTATATGTAATAAAGAAATTGACTTTGTTTTCAAAACTATTGCCACAAATGAAACTCAAGACCCAGGGCCTCCCCTGGTGGCGCAGGCGGTTGAGCGCTGCACTGTGAAGCTGTCCGCAGCCTCTGCAGCGCCGGTTCAATCCCGGCCGGCCGGCGAGGGTCCCACGCGGCACAGCAGACCTCTTCTGCATCACCCGGGGCTCCCCTCAGCAGTGGATTTCGTCCGTCTGCCTGTTCTGTTCCCCACTCTGCCTCTGGTGAATCCCCTCACCTCTCGCGCATCTGGCCTGTACCCCGGTTTTGTATAAAATAAATAAATAAATCTTTGAAAAAAAAAAGAAACTCAAGACCCAGATTTTTTACTGGTGAATTCTGGCAAGCATGGGGAAGACGTAACCGATCTGATGCAAATGTTTTCAGAAAATGGGAGAAGCGAGAGCACTGCCCTGTCACCATGAGCAGCGACGCATCCGGTGGACATGCGAGGCGGGGAGCACTCGCAGGCGCCGGGAGATCAGCAAGACCTGCAAGCCCACGTCTCCCCCGGAAATGACGTCATTTCTCTCCAGCAAACTTGGGTCTTCCAGGTTATTTGGGGGGTGGTGAGCCTTGAGATGGGATGTGCAAGTGGGTCCCACCACGAACAAACTCAACAACCTGCCTTCTCTTCTGCCGTTTGTTTCCAAATAAACCCATTTTGCTGCTGGAGAAACTGATTGCTTTTGT